TTTAGTGGCCCTGATTTACGACCCTTTAAACACCTTTTATTGGATACAATGCTCCAATTTTTAAATTCAAGTACTAAAAAAAACATTATTAAAAATTACTAACCTTTACATTTTTTATTTAACTAAATCACCTAATTTACTCACATAAATTTTTTCTTAACAAGTAAAAGAGTCTAAGTTCGGGCGGAGCCGAACATTAAATACCCGGCGCAAGTATTCAATATAGTTTTTCACCGTTCCGAAAACTACCGCTACATGGTAAGCAGGGGTGGGGTTACCCCTATTTCAAACATCTTCGATAAAGCGTTCAGTTAGATATAATGAGATAAACTTATATAGATATATGTGGGCGGCATCACGCCCATTTTTAAAAATTCAATAATAATGTTACTTCTTTTCAAGGGATTGTTTGGGTAAAATTCGAACGGTTACCGAGATACACATATGTGATCATAAGTGGGCAGGGTCACGCCCATTTTCCAACATTTTATTATAAGCGTATTTTTTGCTAAAGAATTATTGTAAACATCAATCTTGAATGAATTAGCTCCAGTATTTACTGATTTATCGAAGCTTTCGTATTTCCGTTTGGTATTTTTTGTGAAGGCCAACCACTGTGTCAAGTTTTGGAGAAATTGGAGAAGCGGTTCCCAAGGTATACACATGTAATCATAAGTGGGCGTGGCTACGCCCATTTTCCCAAAATTTATAATATTCTTATTTTTCGCCTAAAAATGTTTGTAAATACCAATTTTGAGTGAATAAGCTTCAGTAGTTACTAAAATATCGCAGTTTTCGTATTTCTGAAAACTACCGTTGCATGGGAGGTAGGCGTGGTTATCGTCCGATTTTGCCTATTTTCAATACCATCCGTCCTACGCTCAAAAGAAGTACATATACAAAGTTTCGTTATGATATCTCAATTTGTACTCGAGTTATCGTGTGCACAGACGGACGGACGGACGGACAGACAGTCACCGCTTAATCGATTTCTCTTTTCATTCTGATCATTTATGTATGCATTTGTCTATATCTATATATATTTCGATTCGTTTTGCCTGTTACAAACAACCGTTATGTGAACAAAGTTATTATACCCTTGTGCACAAGTGCGCTCGGGTATAAAAATACTTGACATCCGCATCCGCGGATGTTAGCTTTTAAACATCCGTATCCGCATTCGCATCCGCGGATGTCTAAAATTCCACATTCGCAACATCCCTGTTACAAAGGCACTTGCGCCGATTCGCAAAGACCATTGATGAGCAACCTTCGAAAAAGGCACATCCTTGAGATAATTTAAGGATTGAAATTTCGAAATTTGTTACTCAAAGGGAATAGAGCTTTCAAAAGCATTCGTATTCTTTTCAGGAAGTTACCAGCGATTTTTGGTAAATGTGTCACAAAACAGCATTTGCATTCCGAATATACATAAATAATATCGATGGAGAATTTGGGAATACTGAAACCTCAAGTGAAAATTAAGTGTTTTATGACGACTAACTGGTTCAGAAATCTCTCTTCAAGGCATATCTGCGCGACATGTAGTAGATATTTTTCTTTCTTAATTTAGGAATTTCCAGAAGAACCATTTATGTACATGTGACCGTACTTATTTTACTATGTAGCTCATTTTAAGGGGGAGGGGGTTAAGTATGTTAAGAAAATAACTTGTGTCAAAACCAAGCTAATTGGACAATGTTTTTGGGTACTACTTAAACACATATACTCATCATTTTAACATACAAAAAGCAGAAGTCAGTTTTCCGAAAGCCAAGTCATGTTTTCCCATTTTATTTACTGACTTTACACTATTTTTACCGTTTGCCATCTTTTTACATTAAAATAATGGAATATTTTAGCTGCTATTAATTTCGCACAGAAAAAGTTATCAGTTGACCTAATGTGCACTGATTCCATTGTATTCTACTTAATTAAGGAAAATTCTTTTCAAATAACGACTAAACAAATTTGTTTAATTTCACTATTCACTTGCGATTATATTTATTTTGATTTGTTTCTGTCAAAGCTGCTGATTAAGAACTTCGAATTTCACGCTTTCAGCTTGCCGTTGATTGTTACGATCGGATTACAGCATACCAATTTTCGATTTTTCGGAACGGAACTACGAATTCGTAACTACGAAGATTCGGATTACAGCATACGTGTGAATTTTTAAGTGTCATAGTCAAATAAAGTACGTCTTATATTCAAAATAGTGTTCTATGTTTAAAATGGGGTGAAAAATATGCTAACAATGAATCTGGTCAAGCGCCTTATGTCGCTTCTGTGACTCCGCCAAAGAGACACCAGTGCACCTTCTGTGAGGCCGTTTCACGAAGAAGGGAGAGGTGATTAGGACATATAAGTATGGCCAGGTGAAGAGCACATACACTCCCTGCCCCCGGGACCCATTCTAAAATTCTTGGAGTCTCTTGGGCTAGATTCAGTGTTGTGATAAGCTCGGAGCACAACCTACTGGTCGCAGTGCTTACCCTACTCTATCTATATATCTAGCAATAAAAGGATAATTAAAGATTATTGACATTGACAAACGAAAATAACTGGAGAGTAATATTTATTTCTTGTTTATTGAAGAACACAGATATTTGTGATCAGTTGATTTCAAGTTTTTGCAAGTGAAATTAAAAATTGGAGTTCTAAAATAAAGGTTAGATCCTTGACTACAAGTGCGAAACATTTTTTGGATCGGATCACCCACTCGTATACATTCCCATCAAATATAGTCTCTAACGTAAGAAAAACGTTTTGATTTTACATTAGAATTCTATTGTAGTTCTCGAATCGAAAATCAGGTTAGAGAACTATGTTAGAATTCGATTAGAGAATGATTAGAAAAACAGTAGACATTTGAAACCAATTAGAATTGAACGTTAGAACACGATTAGACATCTAACCTTTTTCTCGAAATCGATAACTAATTCCCCTTTTGTAGAGATTACTATAATTCTCAACAGTTTCTGTAGTCGTCTTGTAACCTTCTACCTTAGAGAAACATATTTGATTTCGAATCGTTTTCCAATCGCAATGTCCGGCTTTTCGCTCATGCATTCCACCAGTTTTTCGCATTGGGACCGATTTGTTGTGATCTTCGATCTGTTAATTTTGTAAACATTTAATAATATTTTTTTTTCTATTCACACTTCAACTTACATACATATTTTTGCGTTTACACACTTTATTTTATTGATATTTTAAAACAATTTGTTTCGCTCCGACACGAGTTGCTATTCGTACAAAATTTCCGACAAAATACATAAAAATTACAGCTACGTCGGATTCAGGCATACTAACATTACGAATTTCGAAATTACGATACGACAATGCGGATTTCAGCATACCAATTCTACGATTCGTAGCAAAATCGAATCTACGGCGGATTACAGCTGTTGCGGCCCGCTTGGCTTTTAGCATGATCGATGTATCTATTTCATGTTTAAGTGTTGTCAAAGTACCCCCTGCATACGGTATGATCTGCATATTTGCGTTCTCTTTGGCCACATCTTCGTATGTACTTACATTTGTGTGTACGCAAATGTCCTAACTCTTATTTATGCACTTCAAACCGTTTTGCAGTATTTATCATTGTTTTCGTTTCTCCGTTAAACGGAATATATTCTATGTTGCGCATATACATATGTACATCTGTTTAGTGAAAATGTAAATGCTTGTTGCCTTTGTTCGCTAACCGCAATGTGCCAACCGCTATTTCTCCTTTGTATATACATATGTATGTACATAGTTTGCCAAATTTGGTACATTCGCTAAAAATTTAAGAACATTAGTTCAGTCGTCGATCAAAGGAGAAAAGCGAAGGACACACTGCGGTAAGTATTGCCTATTTTTGTTCATTTGCATATGCTGAAAATAACTTCCTAACCTTTAGAAATAAACCGAATCTGAACTGAAGTCGAATTAAGCGTTTTATTTTGGATTCGCGTTGAATTCGCTCGCGGAATCGACGACATCTTTATTTCGCAGTCCAAATCTGCCATATATTTGGAACTGCAAATTTTATTTGCAAGTTATTTGCCATTGCCAACTCGCTGCTTAGTTGCAGCAATATTACATCGCTGAAGGTTACATGGGCAAGTCACCTCGTCGAAGCCCTCGATTAAATAACGAAATGGAAGGTAAAGATTCAGGTTCGAATCCGGCCACGTCGAAAAGTGCCGGAACGAAAATCACCGCCGATGGAATCGCCACTAAAGCCACAAGCACAGCCAGTGCCACGCAATCCGCCACCACCACCGAAGGCGCAGCCAGCGCCTCAAAAGCCGCCTCCACTACCGCCGGAGCAATTAGCCGTAACTCGCCAACGCCTGCGCCACCAACATCCTCTGCTCGTCAAGAGGTCATGATGCAGGCTATGCAAAAGCGTATCACCATGTTAGAAAATACCCTGAAAGCAACTGAAGCAAAGCTGAGGGATCACGAATCCCAAACTGAGGCGNTTTAGAAATAAACCGAATCTGAACTGAAGTCGAATTAAGCGTTTTATTTTGGATTCGCGTTGAATTCGCTCGCGGAATCGACGACATCTTTATTTCGCAGTCCAAATCTGCCATATATTTGGAACTGCAAATTTTATTTGCAAGTTAATTGCCATTGCCAACTCGCTGCTTAGTTGCAGCAATATTACATCGCTGAAGGTTACATGGGCAAGTCACCTCGTCGAAGCCCTCGATTAAATAACGAAATGGAAGGTAAAGATTCAGGTTCGAATCCGGCCACGTCGAAAAGTGCCGGAACGAAAATCACCGCCGATGGAATCGCCACTAAAGCCACAAGCACAGCCAGTGCCACGCAATCCGCCACCACCACCGAAGGCGCAGCCAGCGCCTCAAAAGCCGCCTCCACTACCGCCGGAGCAATTAGCCGTAACTCGCCAACGCCTGCGCCACCAACATCGTCTGCTCGTCAGGCTATGCAAAAGCGTATCACCATGTTAGAAAATACCCTGAAAGCAACTGAAGCAAAGCTGCGGGATCACGAATCCCAAACTGAGGCGGATAATGCCCACACGGCCGGGACTTCAAATCCCCAATTTCCCACAACGCATTGTCAAGTTGCGCCGTCGACGGAACTACAATTACCGACGGTGTCTATCGGCAATCCGCTTCCAGTAACGTCATTTGCAGATAGCCGCCAATCGCCGTTGCATTTCGTAGCATCGGCGCCTGCTCAAAACGTTCAGTACGTCACATCTAATGGCATGCCATTGCCACACAATATATATGCGTATTCAGCCACACCTAACAGTGATGTCATTTCTGCGAACTGCAATGCGTCCGCTCACGCCAACGTGGGTCCTGTAGCAACACAGTCGCCTTACCTGCCTAGGCAAATGCAGGCCTTGCCGGATTTCTGTGGGAAAGCAGAAGACTGGCCGATATTCTACACTGCGTTCACAGAATCGACTGCAGTCTACGCATACAGCGATTTTGAAAATAATCAGCGGCTTCATAGGTGCCTGAAGGGCGAAGCTCGGGAGACTGTGAAGTCCCTGCTTATACATCCCAGCAACGTCAATAATGTCATTGAGCAGCTGAAATTCAGGTTTGGCCGTCCTGAACAGCTGATTCGTTCTCAGTTAGCGCAAGTAAGGGAGATTGCGCCCATATCGGAAAGTGGAATGGCGAAACTAGTGCCATTTGCTACTAAGGTGAACAACATGTTCATCTTTCTACAATCAGCCATCGGAGGAGAACAACATCTCGGCAACCCCACGTTGCTCGATGAAGTCGTTATGAAGCTACCGATGAGCAAACGAGTTGAGTGGGCAACTTACGCAGCATCCATACAGCCGTATGCTACGATTAGACAGTTTAGCGAGTGGCTCACAAAACTCGCGAATGTTATCTCTGCAGTGTATGATGTCGAGTCAGTGCGAGACCCCAGACGCCGTGTCGTACTGCACACCGCCGAGCCGCACCGTCATGTGAGATGCCCAATATGCCAGGGTCCACACAAGCCAGCCGAGTGCAGAACGTTCATCGATCTCACTGTGTCGAACAGGTGGACCGAAGTAAAGAAACGCCGCCTGTGTTTCTCATGCCTTAACGCCGGACATGGAACTCGTAATTGCCAGCGGCAAAAGCCTTGTGCCACAGAAGCGTGCAAAAGAATGCACCATAAATTACTTCACGAAAGCGGATGTAGGGTCAACAATGTGGCCGCACAGATTCACCATCGTAATATGAGCATGCCAGTAGCCGAACGCTCGCATACTCAAGGTTCATCGTATTTACAACAACCAAGTGATGCCGATGCCGCAGTTCTCAGTTGCAGTCGCGGTTCCGCTGACAGCAAGCTATTATTTAGAATTTTGCCAGTCGTGTTGTACAACAAACATAAGCGCGTTGAAACATACGCCCTAATGGACGAAGGTTCGTCGATCACAATGATCGACAATACTCTTTTGCAGGAATTGGGTGTGCATGGCAGTGAACAGCGACTGAATCTGCAATGGTTCGGAGGGCGCGCGGCGCAGGAACCAGCCGTGGTAGTAGACTTGTTGGTCAGCGGCGCTGGCATGCAGAAGCGATATAAATTGCGAAGAGTTTATGGAGTATCGAATTTGCAGCTTCCATCGCAAAGCCTAAGTAAAGCGGAGTTGAGCTGTGATGACACTCACGTAAGTAAGTTACCAATACAAACGTACTCACAGGTCCGCCCTAAGTTGTTGATCGGGCTGGATCATTGCCATCTTGGTCTACCCTCGTCCACTTTGAAAATGAATATGAATGGCCCGTTTGCAGCGAGCACTGAGTTAGGTTGGGTGGTGTATGGCCCAACTACAAACAAACAACGGTCGTTGCCGACATGCTTGCATGTGAACAGTCAGAGTGATCAGTCATTGCATAGCTTAATGGCCGATTACTTTGACACCGAAAGCTTTGGGATAAGGCCATCACCCCCCATCGAAAGTGAGGCTGATGCTCGTGCGAAGAGAATTCTCGAGAAGACTTCATTCCGCGTCAATGGGAGATTTCAGACGGGTCTTTTGTGGAAGCATGACAAGGTTGAGCTTCCTGATAGCTATCCCATGGCGCTGCGGAGGCTTAGAGGTATCGAAAAGAAAATGAGTCGCGATGGTGTGTTCGCTGATGAATATAAACGCATCATAGAGTCCTACATAGCTAAGGGTTATGCGCGTAAGCTGTCACCAGCAGATGCTGCCTTGTCGTCGTCGACAACCTGGTACTTGCCACACTTCGCCGTTGCCAACCCTAATAAGCCGGGCAAGTTGCGATTGGTTTTTGACGCAGCTGCTGAGGTGGGGGGTATTTCACTCAATACGCATCTACTAAAGGGACCACAGGACTAAAAGTCGTTGCCGTCCATTCTCTTCCACTTCCGCGAAGGTGCAGTTGCGGTATGTGCGGACGTGAGAGAAATGTTCCACCAAATATTGGTGCGGCGGCAAGATAGATGCGCTCAACGATTCCTGTGGCGAGGAGGTGATGCTACGAGGAAGCCAGAAGTCTTCGAAATGTGCGTAATGACATTTGGTGCTGCATGTTCGCCATGTGCTGCCCACTACGTCAAAACCGTCAACGCGTTAGAACACCGGAATGGAAACACCGTCGTAGACCGTGCAGTAAAATCCATATTAGACCATCACTATGTGGACGACATGGTTGATAGCTTCGGTACAGTACAAGAAGCTATCGCCGTTTCGCAGGTAGTGCGCGCTATACACATGAACGCCGGATTCGAGCTTCGAAATTTTACGTCAAACTCACAGAAGGTAATAAAAGAGCTGGATGGTGACGAGGGTAAGCGACCTATCTCGAAGAAGGAGGGCTTGTTGGTGGAAAAAGTCCTCGGACTATTTTGGCAGCCCTCAACCGGTTGCTTTGGGTTCAAGCTAAAATTTCATAACGTGGACGCAGCGGTTGTATATGGGTCGAGGCCTCCTACCAAGAGAGAGCTCCTCAGCATCGTGATGTCCATTTTTGACCCTTTAGGGTTTTTAAGTAACTTTGTAATCGGAGCCAAATTGATTATGCGCGAGGTGTGGAGGCACGACATTCGTTGGGATGAGCCGTTGCCGACTAGTATCAACGAAGCATGGGAGAAGTGGCGAAATCAGCTGGTTACTGTTGTAGAGTATACTATTCCGCGGTTCTATTTTCGCATGGGTATGCCGAAAACCCTACAGCTTCACGTGTTTGTCGACGCAAGTGAGGTAGCCTTCGCCGCCGTCGCCTATTGGAGGTCGAAAAGTTCCAGTGACGAGATCGAAGTGGCGTTCATTTCCGCGAAGTCAAAGTGCGCTCCAATAAAGTCATTAACTGTGCCTCGTCTTGAACTCCAAGCGGCCGTGCTCGGGACTCGCCTAATGAGCTGTATACGAGAGGAGCATTCTCTAGACGTCAACCAGTGTACTTTGTGGAGCGATTCCAAGACAGTGGTCAGGTGGATTAGGAGCGAACATCGTCGCTACAAACCGTTCGTTCAGCACAGGATAGCGGAAATATTGGCCGCTACCAACTCATCAAACTGGAAGTGGTTACCAACTGAACTCAATGTCGCCGACGAAGCTACACGCGCGAACAATCGCCTTGATTTCCGAGCAACAGCCCGCTGGTCATGTGGTCCGGCATTTCTGCATCGGCCGCAGCAGTATTGGCCTAACGACAACACCGTGGTACCCAGCGAAGACGAGCATGATGAAGAACTACGCCCTAAATACGCTCTGGTAATCGTTAACTATAATATAATTGATTTTAAACGTTTTTCTTCCTTGACAAAACTGGTGAGAGTTGCAGCCTGGGTATTGCGCTTTATGGACACTTGCCGTCTCCGTGTTCAGGCAGACAATCGATATGGGTTGACTGCGCGAGAAGTCGAACTTGCCAAGAAGCTATTGTGCCGCCTTGTTCAACGAGAGGTATTCGCTGCAGAATTTCAGCAGATACAGAACGGCCAAAATATCGCACGTAACAGCGCGCTGCTACAGCTCTCGCCATATATAGACAAAGATGGTGTGCTCCGCGTGAATGGTCGCATCGACGCCGCCAGCTGGCTGCCCATAAGCTCTAGACACCCCATCATATTGCCGCCAAAGCACTACTTCGCGAGACTGGTTGTGATGCACTACCATAAAGTTATGCGGCACCAGAACACTGAGGCTACAATATGCGAGATACGACGCCACTATTGGATCCCACAACTACGAACTTTGCTACGCAGCGTAATCACGCACTGTTTGGAGTGCCGCTTAAGAAAAGTACAGCCTGAACCGCCTCAAATGGCGCCGCTACCAATTGACAGGCTCACGCCATATATAAGGCCATTTAGCTATACGGGACTAGACTATTTCGGCCCGATAGCTGTTACCATTCGTCGCAGTACTGAGAAGAGGTGGGTGGCGCTCTTCACCTGTTTGACGGTGAGAGCGGTGCACTTAGAGCTGGCCCATGATTTGAGCACTGACTCATGCATTGTTGCTCTACGAAACTTTATGAATCGTCGTGGTGTGCCTATACGTCTACGTTCCGATAATGGTAAGAACTTTGTCGGCACAGAAAGGGAAGCCAAACGTTTCCGTGAGGTGTTCGACTGCAGCCGCATTCAAGATGAGCTAACCAGCAAGGGAGTTGAGTGGATATTTAACTCCCCGTTTAATCCATCGGAAGGAGGCGTCTGGGAAAGATTAGTGCAATGCGTCAAAAGGGTGTTACGCCAAACCTTGAAGGAGACAGCGCCTAAGGAGCACACGCTCAACTGCTTCCTGATTGAGGCGGAAAACATCGTAAACTCCCGGCCTCTGACGCATTTGCCTATATCCGTCGACCAAGAGCAGCCCCTTACACCTAACAATTTTCTTCTGGGTGAGCCGAACGATGCACATACGCCAACCGCAGAGAGCGTACTGGAGAAGGTTTGCGTACTACGTCAGCAATGGAGAATTGCCCGCCAGTTGAGGAACCACTTTTGGAAGCGGTGGATAGCCGAATATTTGCCAACATTGACCCGGCGAGTCAAGTGGTGTCAACCAGCGAAGCCTATACAAGAAGGGGACCTAGTTTTTATATGCGACCCTAACGTACCAAGACGTGAGTGGTGCCGTGGAAAGGTAGAGCATGTTTACCCTTGGCATGATGGTGAGATTAGGCGAGTCGACGTCCGAACAGCTGGTGGTGTAAAGCAGAGAGCAGTATCCAAGCTGGCGATCCTGGACACTGAATGTGGTGAATCGGGCTGATTCACGGGGCCCGGGATGTTGCGGCCCGCTTGGCTTTTAGCATGTTCGATGTATCTATTTCATGTTTAAGTGTTGTCAAAGTACCCCCTGCATACGGTATGATCTGCATATTTACGTTCTCTTTGGCCACATCTTCGTATGTACTTACATTTGTGTGTACGCAAATGTCCTAACTCTTATTTATGCACTTCAAACCGTTTTGCAGTATTTATCATTGTTTTCGTTTCTCCGTTAAACGGAATATATTCTATGTTGCGCATATACATATGTACATCTGTTTAGTGAAAATGTAAATGCTTGTTGCCTTTGTTCGCTAACCGCAATGTGCCAACCGCTATTTCTCCTTTGTATATACATATGTATGTACATAGTTTGCCAAATTTGGTACATTCGCTAACAATTTAAGAACATTAGTTCAGTCGTCGATCAAAGGAGAAAAGCGAAGGACACACTGCGGTAAGTATTGCCTATTTTTGTTCATTTGCATATGCTGAAAATAACTTCCTAACCTTTAGAAATAAACCGAATCTGAACTGAAGTCGAATTAAGCGTTTTATTTTGGATTCGCGTTGAATTCGCTCGCGGAATCGACGACAACAGCATAAGGGAAATTGTATTTATTTTGTTCAGTCATTTATTCAATCCAAACGTACGGAAAACTTTATCCGTTGTCTTACACATATGTTAGTGTTTGGCCGAGCTTCTCCTCTGGATAATATGCTCCCAGATAATCCAAACACAATATTTTCACACAGTCTCTATCACGGAATTCATAGAATATTTTGATAATTAGCTGGGTGTGCGCATTTGTACAAAAGTAAGCAATTGCATGAAAATAAAGCCTCTAGAGAAACCAAGTAAAGTTTTGCAAATTGTTTTACGAATAAAAAAATATTTTGCAAATTGAATTAATTAACTGCGCATAGTAGGAAATATTTGCAAGTGACATTGCGTGATTACTTAAAATATTTGAAGATACAGCTTTATATGCAAAAATACCATTAAACACAGCAACACAAATTTGGTGTTTTTTTGGGAAAATTGCGCTATTTTCAGTGTTTTGGTGCTTTTTTAAATAGAAAACTTGGCAATACTGATTACTAGCTGTCCTTCATCGAGCGCTCCTTGCTGGGTTCGGACTGCAAAATTGGGAATAAAAATCAAGTTTTCGTAGTAGATGTGCATTTCTTATCTTTATAAAAAATAATTAATTTCTCCTCGTATCACTGTATTCTGGGACTAAATAAGGGGCTAAAGCTGCCTGTACAAGGGTCGATTTCTGTAGACTGGAAAATCGACTAGCTAAAGCATTTACATTTTAAGGTTGAGATGTCATTTATCTGGGTCGATTATGGTTGAACGACAAAAATCTTCTAGAAAATCGACCCGTATAAAGGCGCCTTAATTAAGCGAGCAATTATCATTAAAGTTAAAACGCCTTGGTTAAAATTAATAAAAAGTTATTTCATTCTTTCTGTACCGGGACAATTGTTTCATGGGTGGGCAACGACGCAATTACAGAACTTAAGACAGAGTAATCTTTTTCGATCGGGTTCAAATCGGGCGATTGTGAGGGCCTATTTACGAATTCCAGTGTATTTTCAAGTGTAGCTCACCAAAGTAACAATCGTGTCAATAAAAAGGTAAAATATAACTTTTAATTTGCTATTAAAAACCCCACCTCCTTTCTATTTGAAGAGTAAAGCCCAAAAAACAATAGCGCAGTGGCAGTGACAGTTTTTAAAATCAGCTGTTACTGCTAATATTGGCAGTCACTGCCGTAGCAAACACAATACGGCGTTGTCAGTGACTGCTTTTTTTGACATTACCTTTTGTTTGTTTACATTTTTGTTGTTGCCTTTTAGGCTTCAGTGACATCAACAGATGTTGGCTGCGTTTCATTTATGTCAAATTCAGCATGCGAAGTTTGCTGCGATGAAGGCAGTGGCAGTGAATTTAGAATTTGGGCTAAACTGAGCAGTACTGCTAGCTGCCACTGCTGTATTGTGAGTCGCTTCATTGGACACCATACTTTCTAAAAAACAGCTGGTTTCGAAAAACTGCCGCTGCCACGGCGTTATTGTATTTTGGGCTTAAATTTGTTGATGTAACAAAACGGAACAGATTTTCAGTTGAGCGGAGTAGAGGACTAGGAACAAATCTACTCCTATCGGAGTGAAGTCCGAACGATGGCTTATTGTGTATATGATCAAAATTTACGCTTTTTGTTTGGTGCACAAAGACAGTATTACCGCAGTCCAAGGCATAACAAGGTAGAAGTGATTTCGACATTTCTCTCTTTTGAATTGCGACTGAAATATCAACTCTTAATCCTATACTATTCAAAATTTTTTTTTTATATAAATTTTCAATTGTGAGCTGTGCGACTGATTTTAAATACATAATAAAATGAAAAGGAGTTGCGAGCGGTGCGTTGTGTTTGTCAAGAGCCTGGACAACAAACTTTTGCGTTATTTTAAACCTTCGAATAGTCAAGTGAAGCGACAACGGTGGGCAAATTGCTGCGATGTTTCATTAGGAGACTCTTCACGTGTGGTCGTGACTTTATTTGTTGCCTATCGCAGCCGAGTATTTCTAAATGGACGCGTTTGGTCCCAGGTGCAAGATTTATCATACCGAATATGAAAAGAAAATCTCCCACTCATTTATATGGATAGACCAAATTTCAAATGGTGGTCTGATAAAACCTAAACCAGAATTCTTTGTTGACATAAAGAAACTGAAAGTAATTTTTAATAAGGTAATGGAAAGGAAATTTCGAATAGCAAAAATTTAATAGCTAAATTATTGAAGTTAAGTTCTGATGTAAATTTAGAAGAGTCAGACTTTTTTAATGTCTAATATACTTTAGAATTAAGTATTTGAATAAAGAAATAAATGCTCAAAAACATTGGGATAGTAAAAGCAAGAAAATTGTCAAAACGGTTTTAGAAATGAGTGTGTTTTATTTGGTGTGTAATTTTGTGTAAGTACGCATTTCCACATTTACATTAAACCGAAAATTCAATAAATAAAATGAAGCTGATTCTAATGAGATTTTAAATATTCTTATATTTACAAAAACTTTCATTTCAAAGATGTTGAGTTCTATCAAATATGGTAAATGCATAACAAAGGGTTAATTTCTTTGTTTACATTTTTTGACATTACAGTCAGGTATGAGAGAGCTCGACTGAATTGTCACTTCTACCTTGTTGAATATGCCTTGCCGCAGCCGTACTGCGATGAACATGATGTCGGTGGAGGTATGAATAATTTTTTCGCAACTTTTCATACCCTTCCTCCCGTAAACTGTTTTTCCCTTTCTCTAGCCCGCGCTCACACTTTCGGTGCTGCGTGGGCAAAAAAGTGCCCAACTCTGATCTACATTGTCAGTCTGAGTAATTGTAAAGTACCTTATCTTTAAATAGTATGAGGGTGTTACCTGTCAAACCGAGGCTATTACCTGTCAAACCGTTTTAGATACTGTTTTTGCAGTAAGAAGTGAAGTAATGGTTTCTTTTTATCCGTGACAGCATAGCTTAAGTTTTCCCATCGCTCGAGCAACATCTTTATGATTAGCTTTATCATCGCTCATCACAAACAGATATATGACTCATTTCAGATTAACAGATAAGTAACGGTAGCAGTCCCTGGCCGAATTTATTGATATTTGTCAAACTTTAAATTGTGGCGGGTGTGACATATGACGGGCGTGACCAACATAATCTGTTCTTTTTACGAAATTAAAAGCATATGAACACTTGAAGGCAATTCGCACATATTCGCATATGTCATAGCGTTATTTTCGTCAGCTTTTTTACACTGTCTAAGATGTGTTTTCCTTAAAAAATAACTATTTTGTGGATTTTGTGACGGGCGTGACATTAAAATATGTTTTGCTTCAATATATAATAAAATATTTAGTACTTGCACCAAAAACTTAAAAATTACACGATTTGTTCACTCCACTGCCCTTTCAAATAATGCAAAAAAGAAAATAGATTACGAAAGTCAGTCTTGTCAATTTTGAAGAAAATTAACTTCTGATTTGAGTTTGTTAATGGTGCGACCTATTTTGGTATAAATTTCGAAATTTTCACTTTCAGTCTTGAAAGTTAGATTTATTTACTCTTGCTTACTAGAAATAATACACTCAAATTCTTCGGTTTGTTTTCGTTTCATTCGGTATCGCTTACCGTGGAATGAGCCTTATATTTATGCATACAATATAAAAATTGCAAATTAGGAAAATTACAAAAAAAATTTTTATTTTAAAATAATTTGCTTATAATCTGAATGATTTTCACCATATTATTATCATAAATCAGTGACAGTAAGTCTCGCCTGCAACATGGTAATTATTACGTACCGATCGAGTAACATTTACCAAAGTTATATCGAAAAACTTAAGTGGATCTCCAGTTTTTGTCTAAAAAATTTCTCTTTAATTGTATAAATAACTTTTAAATGAAGCTTTCAAGCTGAATGCAAAGCAATGTCGTCCAATTGGAGAGTCCGCAAAAGGACTTCCCAGGATATGTTCAAGACTATTGCATTTACCTACTTTTTCACATAATGGAATTAACTAAAATATTTATGTATATCTAAACACTTATTCACGTCCCCTACTTTCATATAACGGCAAATTTAGAAACCGCGAAAAATGTGCTTCTTCGGTGACTAATGAAACCATTCCGCACCAATTTTCAAGACTGCATAAATATACTTAAAATGAGCGTTTCTCACCCTAATTGTATTATGTTAATGTATGTAAATACTTATATGCTTGAAACTACTATTAACTTATCAAACGATTCCTAATCTTTGACTATACATGTTTGACTACATTCACCACAATCTTGAAAACTGACCAAATCGGCGTGACCAAGTCCATTTTCCTTTTAATATTATATGGACATTAGCGTGGGCCGAAAACCCGCTCTTTTAGAATTTTGATTGGTAATAGCAAAAATATGGTTCATTATGCTCTAAAAAAATAGCTATGTGAAATGTGAATATTTTTGGTCAATATCGTAGGCTCGCCCAAGTCCATCAAAGTTCAAGTACTAATTTTTTTTCTTTTTCAACAAATTCGATTCTCTACGAAGAAGGTCCATATACCAAATTATGTATTATTAATACTTTAGAAGATTGTTGCAATTTTAGTAAAAAAATGTTTTAATAAATTTATTTATTAATTTGTATTTTTTGAGCATATTGAACTTTGATGGACTTGGGCGATTCTAAGATATTGACCAAAAAATTCCAAATTTCGCACAGGTTTTTTTAAAGCATAATGAACCAAATATTTGCTATTACCAATCAAAATTCTGAAAAAGCGGATTTTCGGCCCACGCTAATGAACATCCGAAAACACTAACACGTTTGAAATAAATCTCGTCCCACTTTTTTGTATTTTTCACTTGGTTGCTGAAGTAATTTAGAATTGAAAATTCATTAGGGCTACTGCAAGCTCAGTGTTAGAGTTCGAACCAACAAAAAGTTGTTTAGTTTTCCTTTTGTTTTTGGCATTCTTTCCATTTGAGTTGGGCGATCGCGAATCGGCTGTATTATTGTTATTGACAACGTTTTC